GCCCCACGCAAATTTCCCTCATTCAAACATTGCTGTAGCGTTTGTGCTGTCATTTTTACTACTGCAGAGCCGATATCAGGTCGTTTGACATTCACAAGACCAACGAGGGTACCATATATAAATGTCTTCATTGGTAATTCCATGAAACTTGGGATGATTAATGAAATATGTAAATAATTTAAGCAATACACTAGTAATCAGATGTGTATAAAAATATTCAAACCAATTTTTTATTGTCTTCAATACGAGAGGCTCATATTTAGAATATTCAGTTTGAACAATTTCAGCAATTTTTTCAATATTCTTATGTATTTCTTGGGGAGTCATCTAACAATTATTACAATATCAATTGCTTATCGATACGCCGTTCATTTCAATCGTAAAATTGTCTGATAGTATACTTTATCTCCCAAAATGATTAAAAGAGTCGATAGTCTTTTCTCAGGACTGTCGTCCGCAGCTTGATCCTGAGATTCGCTATAACTCCTACCACGTTCTCGTTGTTTTCGATCGCGTCCGCCATTTCCTCGGCGTTCGTCGTCTATAAAAAATATAAAGCAGTAAATTTACAGCCTATATACGCCTTTCGACGTGTCTGTAGCATGAAAGTTTAAAACAAGAACAAAAACACAGCCTTATGAACCATACCTCTGTATCTTTTCTTACCACTGCCTAGTTATTGACGTGTGGTTTGTTTTGAAGGTAAATTTGATAGTGTAAAGAACACAAATATTTATAAATGAGCGCGAATAATAAAATTTTTAGTTATGTCTTACTATCAACCCGGCGGTTTCCTCCACTTTCATCTGGTGATCGCTCCATTGAACAAAGTAATATGGTAATGCGCAAACTTGAGTTGCGTATGTCGAAATACTGATATCAATATGAGTCTTTAATTAGGGGTGTGGGCATGCACATAGTGACAGCTCACCTCCAAAAATTTCCCGCACGTGATGGTGACCAATCAAATCACAAGATAAGGTGTAACGTGAAATTCACGTTTCTTCGTCGATAACTCAAATTTTCGTCGTCTTCGATGCTCTAATGAAAAAAAAATTCCTTGAGAAATTTTAGCATACATTAGGTCCTTCCCTAGCCCTAATCCAACCCTAGCAACAATGTTTTAATGCTTTAAATCTTGTGCTTTATTCGATTGGTATACATAATGATTTTATGTGGTGACAAAATTCAAATTATGTGAATCTAACCTACATGCTATTTTAAAGCATTAACATTGGTCATTATTTTATTTCATTTATGTGATGCGAAACATATTTGCCAAATTATGTGCGATTCTGTGGCATACTTGGCAAAAATTATATGCAATTCTGTGGTAGTGTTCCGATCCGGGTAACCATCACCCGGGTCACCCGCGGGTGGGCGGGTGACCCGGGTTAAATTATGGCCACCC